GCTCCGCTCGACAAAGTCGACAGCGGAGCAAAAAAGACAAAAATATTCACCAAAATTAGAGAATTGAAGATATCATCACAAAATTTACAATTCTGAGAGAGGTCCACATGTAGTACCTACATGTATAATATCAGAATATGCACATATTAGATGTGTAATTAATTAATATATGTGTATTGTTTTCAGTTCAGATACGTGACGTTGAAAGAACATTGGTTTGAAGGGCATAAACATGTGAAGAGAAACCCATATGAATTTTACAACCCGCCTTTTGCTGAGATTGAAACGTAAGAAATACCTGCCGCAATAGGGTACTTTTATTAAGTGCATATTGTTTATAATTATTTAATAAATATATAAATTTGTTGTTGCAAGTCATTGGAAACCTTTTTTTTTCAGGTATGGCTACATAACAATGGAGAGACTGAATACAACAACCGTGTCTGATTTCATTGGTCTTCTTCGTTCATTCTCAGCATACAATAGATACGTACATGTTCACCCTGAGAAACAGGATCTACTGCAGAAGATAGAAGCCATGTGAGCATTTTCTTTCTTTTACATTTCCGCTACGAAAGTTATGCCTGCCTATGCATGGTGGGAGTTTGCATATAGGTAGGGCTTGCATAACAGATGTTGTGAGCATCTTTTGTTCTTTTCGTCTAAAACTTTTTATCATTGTAATATTAAACGTCTTATTTTCTTCAGTTTATCGTGAATCTGTGAGTTCAATAACACATGCATGGTTTAAACTGAATTTCTGTCTCTGTATAGGATAATGCAAGTTCTTGATTTGGAATCCCCACCAGAGAAAACATCCTTGGAATTCAACTATCAACATGTCTTCCTGATCACAGCAAGAAAGAAATAATTCTGGAACGTTGATATAATTTCTGTTCAGAATCTCATTAAAAACCTCAATTCATTGTAGTATTAACCTACGTTACCAATACGAGTCATAGACAGATTACTCATCGCAGTTTGGATTTAGAATAGAATAGAATAGAATAGAATAGAATAGAATAGAATAGAATAGAATGGATAGGATAGCTTTATTACATCCTTAAAGAAAATTGATATTTCTTCTCTATTTAGCGTAATAAAGCTAATTTATGATATATGCCATTATTACCATGCACATTATAATTATGGCAAGCATAGAGTGCAGATGTTCACAGTAAAGGTGAATTTATAACCAATACTAGTATTGCATGTGGCAGATATGAATTGAATCGCCCTAGATGTATAGTAATTACTGATGATGGTAAAATTGTAGTCACTGGAGGCAAACATGTTAAAATCGTTTCATAATTAAACATCACCATTGACCTTAGAATACCGAGAACTAAAGCTTGGTATGACAGAGATGTACATTTAACTTAGTTTGTCTTTTCTGCATCTGAATTCAAAACGCCATGTTCAGTATAGATGACTGGTGATATATAAAATACATTTGAATATGCACTTAGTGCTCAAGTCAGATTGACATCAACTCTGTTGAGAGCAGCAGGTACAAAAGGAAAGGCAAATTTACATTGCAGTACAAAGTGTTATAGCGAGTGAATATTGATTGAAATAAGAGTCAGAACAAAGACGGGTTTAGAATTATCTTAATTATTTATTTATTAATAATATATTTGCTTGCACTGTTTTGTACAATAGCTGTAAATACTGTCATGAAGAAAAAAATAAGATCACATATTTAAAAATAAACATTCCATTGTTCTGCACCAGGACTCAGACTAGTAATACAATTGTATTACTAGTCTGAGACCAGGACAATGTTTTTTGTGTTACTGTAAAATACTTAAAGCGTGGTGGTCGTCGCGCAGCGTGTGTTCGAATTTCATGTAAATAAACAGTGTATTTTACATGCATTGTATACGTCGATATGAGTCCCATATCGAACAAGACGCGGCACGACGACTGCCGCGCTTTAATATTAGCTGGAATTAATTTTTGCTGAAAAGACTTTTTGGGTGTTTTAAATGGGATTTATTTTCACAAGTTGAATGTAAAATATATGAAACAAGCAGCCTGTCGGCTGAGATAGCTCCGCTGTTAGGAATGCACATGGCAATTAAAGAACAGAAGATATTAGAAAATGAACAAATCTGAGAGAAGTCCACATGTAGTACCTATATGTATAATATATCAAAGCAATTGGACTTTCGGTTTTCAACAAGAAGTCGAAAATATCACTTTTTATCAAAAATTACAAAAATATTCATCAAAATTAGAGAATTAAAGATATCATTACAAAATGAACAAATCTGAGAGAGGTCCACATGTAGTATTTATATATGTAATATCAACACAATTGGACATTGCGGTTTTTAACAAGAAGTTGAAAATATCACTTTTTACCAAAAATATTCACTAAAATTAGAGAATTGAAGATATCCTCATGAAATGAACAAATCTGAGAGAGGTCTACCCAAGGTACATATACACCAAGTATCAAAGCATTCAGGCTTGCAGTTTTCAAGAAGAAGTCGAAAAAATAAAACATTGACACGGACGACGGACAATGACAGACGACAACGGACAATCACTCATATGATAAGCTCCGCTTGACAAAGTCGACAGCGGAGCTAAAAAGGTATAATCGCTGGATTATATTTTCACCGAATCATCAGCGAAAATAGCAAAAATTAATTCCAAGTAGAAATCAAGTTTTTAACAGTATTTTTATTTGAATAAGGCAAACAAAAAAATGAATTTGTTTTTCATCAGTTTAAAAGGTGTATTGCATTGTTTTTTTTTTCTCTCAAAATATTAAATTAAAAAAAAAATGATTTATATATGGTATTGCGTACACAATGATCTTTTAATAATCAATAAAAAAATAAGCAAAACATTCCACAAAAAAATTAAATCGTGATTGTTCTTTTTTGGAGACAGTGATTTCAATATGATGTGGTTTTTCTCACTATAATAAGCTGTTATTTTTCCCACATTTCAAATATGCAGAATTTATAGTTCTGATCAATATCCGATCAATATCATTAAAAAAAAAAAAAAGTCTTTAGAAGTTGACATGATGATGTGGAAAAATGAATTTTTGTTATCATGGACATTGTCACATACTGTATACCGGGTTCACTCACCACACATATGTTTAGGAGTCAATACAAACACACACATAAGATTGGACCTGATTGGCTACCAAACCCTTACATCTAACATTCAGACCAATCAGAGAAAAGGTTGTTTGTGGGCAGATCTGCCTTTATAAATGCCCCTTACTGGAGTTTAACACCATTCAATATGATAGTTGCATTCCCACCTTGCAAAACTGTTAGGTTTTTTTATTTTCTCCTGACATATATACCATCAAATTTTAAGATTGCGAATGGGCAATGAAAAATTAGCAGCAAATTGTGACTTGAAATGAGCCTTTTGAAAAATTTAGACGAGAAAGTTTGTTGGTCAAAAGTTAAGCTATAGATTTGTAAACAACAGACACTCATTGAGATAGGAGTTTTGTCAATTGTATTGTAGATATGTTTATCCGTGGGATAGGACCCTCTAGATTTTTTAAAATTAATGGACAGGATTTCTACTTTTAATATATTGTTGAGCTAGAACAGCTTGATTTAAACACACTTATGTTTTTAGATTGCTTTGAGTGATGACTTATTTACAAAGTGCGAAACGAACATTAATACACTAATTAGAATTATTAGAGTATGTTAAAAATAATCTCCATCCCTGCACAAGTTCATACAATGAGTAACTGCCATTTCGGGTTACCTAAGTTTATAAATAGTTTTTTTACGTACATGCTTTTGCTTACTTCAGAGTTCAATGTTGAATTTCAAATTAACCAATTCAGAAATGATATTGTGACATTGTGAGTTCTAATCAACATCATCTGATCAGCAAGTCCTTCATTGTGAATAAGTGGACAGATACAATGTCACTTGAAACATGTAGATATAGACAATGTTGAGTTCTTAAGCCAATCACAATCAAGTATTTGGATTTGAATGAAAGCTGATGATGGGTATTTATTTTTTTCTTAAATACGTTTATAAACCAGGGTGCAGCTTTCTGAATTACAAAGGTATGATCAGTGTGTAGAATACACATCTCAGTATGATCAGTGTGTAGAATACACATCTCAGTATGATCAGTGTGTAGAATACACATCTCAGTATGATCAGTGTGTAGAATACACATCTCAGTATGATCAGTGTGTAGAATACACATCTCAGTATGATCAGTGTGTAGAATACACATCTCAGTATGATCAGTGTGTAGAATACACATCTCAGTATGATCAGTGTGTAGAATACACATCTCTGTGACGTAAATAAGTTAAAAATCAAGATTTGCAGAATTTTTTTATACATATTACATAATAAACACTATTATTATACATCTGTCACCGTAATGCCATAAGTTACAGCGTGTCGTAATTTTGCGGTATTGCACTGGGTATTTTCATCCTACCATATTAGAAAATGCAAATTCCAAATATTGAATGATTTCGCGCATAATAAAAACAAACATGGCAGCCCCAGGGTATGACTGGGCCCTATACAAAGAAGTTCGCTCAATCTGTTCTAAACAATTTCGGATTTCGGCATTCCCATGATGTATCCTTGGCAGGAAAAGATAATAATAGGGTTATTACGAGAATACCGAAAAGTATGCACTCAAACATTCAGACTGCTGCGTGTCAGTCAATACTTCCGCTGTGCAGTCTTCATGCATACTTTTCGGTATCCTCGTAATAACCTTATATTCATTTGAGATTTTCAGCAACACTTAAAAATTGTCAATTAAAAAAACAATAAAAAAAAAAAAACATCATCCACAACACATACAAGCAATTAAATCCATGTGTCCACCAATCAGCTCCTGTCTTGTGATACGGCAACGGTTTTACCGAAATATCTGATGTACCTCAAATAGAAGCCAGACCCATTTTTTGAGCAATTGAGAACAAAATATTCACTATTTCTTATATGTGTAGATGCTCGCTTCCGTTGCATTGTACCATTTTAACAGAAACCACAGCTTCTAATACAAATTTCACAGTACTTAAATCTCCTCCACCGGGTATATAGTTCTGTATGTCAGGTTTACTCGAGGACCCTTGCTATGATATGACTTTGGAATGCTGTGCTGTGAAAAGAAAGATTTATTTGATGATGAATCAACTACAGCAACTAAGATTTTGTCATGGTACCGGTAGATTTTTCCATGGGAATGCAACATAACTGCTTAAAAAGTATAAAAATAATAATTTCACAATTAAACAAACTGAAATCTCATAAAATGCCAGTTTTTAACAAGATCACTGTAGTTTAAATATGGTTTCTATATTGTTTACTGATATTCTCATGAAAAAAACATTTGGAAGAATTTTCCCATCAGCAAAAAAATAGGTTATGATACTTAAACAGGTAACATGTATTTTATTTTTGTATTTTATATTTATTTTCATGGTTCTCCCAGGGGTTTTTCTCGAAAAAAACTGCAACTGCAAAAGGGATCACTGCAATTCAGCTGCGCCACCAAGTGGTGGAGATAGGGTTCTCCCTACCAGGGTGTAGAGTTATTGATAATTCTAGGTTAAAATGAAGCATTCTATGGCTTCCTTGGGGCCAAAATTACTATCAGACAGGTCACAGTTGAAGACTGGCCACATGTGATCCCTGGTCAATCAGAATTTTATGGTTACCAGAGGATCTGCTCCCAGGGTAAGGGAGCATGGCCATAGGCATGAGGGTGCTGCACCCTGTTCCTGGTTGATCCCAATGTTTTCACAACAGGTTGTCCACGATAAATATGGCTGTCAGGACAACTTTTGAGCCATGTACCAAGTGCCCACTCAGGAGTATATGTATATGTATATGCATTCAGGCTGTAGTAAAATACATAGACCACAAAAATGAGGTAAAGCTGACAGATATTTTTGGTTGTTGTATAGCTGAGTAACAAATACACAAATGCATACATACAAACACTACAAAGTACAGCTATCATTCAATGACAGCTGTGAGTACTGACAATTCTGTGACTGACCTGCCAGTCGGCTTGAGTTGCCCCTTCCATTATCAGTAAACTGCCACTAGGCAGTGGCACCTCGATATGCTGTTGATATGTGTAGTCCCCTTTCTCTTCCTAAAGCAAATAAAAACAAAAGTAAGCTGGACAAGAGTGTGTGAGGGCACTCTCATAAGTGCAAGGAAACGATGCTAGGTTCAGTCCCGCTATTTACGGGTCTGGCAATGGTTTGAAATTCTTTCCAATATTGTCATAGATAAGACATAGATACAAGTCATAGATAAATATTGCTTCACACCTTTTAGACAAAGGTATACCACAGTTTGAATTCCACAGAAGGCCCTGAAAATGGGTGTACATAATAAAAAATGTAATGCTAAATTACACACTAAGAAATTGTATTATATACGTTTATACGGGTCTTGTCTTTTAAAAATGTCATTAGAGCTGAAAATGACTCTTTAAGTAATGTGGATAATTAGAGGTGCTGCGCTATTAAATCTTAAAACTGTATGATTTGAGAGGGTAATAACTAGATTTTATGGGTCTTGGGCTAATAATATGCAAGTGGACTGATAACTAGATTTCTCATATACTTGATGTACAGCTAAAATACAAAACATATGACGTCATATTTCCAGATGTTATTTCTTACCAATGGCGGTTTTTTCCTCATTTTGAATATTCTCATGTCGCCGAACGTAAGAGATGCAATGATTGGGAAGTCACGAAGTCCAGCTTCATCATCACTGTGCCAGTCCACGCTGTCATATTCATTACGATACAAATTTCCTAAGACTGAATTGAAGGTGTACTTGGGTTTTTTTTCTATCCTTTCGCGTAGTTGAAGCACTAATGGATGCCACTAGGAACAAAGATGTATATAAAAAAAGTCATTGTCGATGACATAGTCCCTGTTTGTATTATACATTTGAGATATATATATGTATGATGTATGTGTGAAGTTTAAATATGATTGGTCCAGGCATGTATGAGATATGGCACCATGGAAATGCATTTATTCAACATGTAGATCAGTCAGCCATTTTGGGTTTGATACATGTATGTTTGTTGTATATGACGTCTGATGTATGTGTGAAGTTTAAACTTGATTGGTCCAGGCATGTATGAGATAAGGCGCCATGGAAATGCATTTATTCAACATGTAGATCAGTCAGCCATTTTGGGTTTGATACATGTATGTTTGTTGTATATGACGTCTGATGTATGTGTGAAGTTTAAACTTGATTGGTCCAGGCATGTATGAGATATGGCACCATGGAAATGCATTTATTCAACATGTAGATCAGTCAGCCATTTTGGGTTTGATACATGTATGTTTGTTGTATATGACGTCTGATGTATGTGTGAAGTTTAAACTTGATTGGTCCAGGCATGTAGAAGATATGGCGCCGTGGAAATGTGCATTTGCTTAAACAAGATGACTGCTAGTTAGACATTTTGAATATAATGTCTCATGTATGTGGTATGTTTGTAATTGATTGGCCCAAGCATGTGTGAGATATGACTGGATACGGACGAGTAAATGCATACATGTTTGAATGCATGTACCGTGGTCAATAAGTCCCTCTATCCGGACTTTGTTTTAACAGAGACTAAAAAGAAGGTCTGATAGAGAAGTTTATGTTTCACGCATACATTTTTAGAAAATTAATGATATTCATGAAAATTATGATATGCCTGATTTAAATTTTAAATATGTTATTAAAAATTCAATGACACAAAAATGTATCAATTAAATTTAAATTGATTTCTGGATTGATTGTTTTTTGCTAGTTGGCTAGAATTAAAATAAATGATTAGATTAGATTTTATGTTAGTTTTCACAATCACCAAATTAGAGAAACCACTATTGGCACAGTAAAAAATGGCAGCCATATTGAACCAAATCAGAACTAAATTAAAACAAATCATTACCAATAACATATTTCCTGTTATTCCAATGCATTTGGATTTGAGGACGATAATATCATAGAGAATTCATTTAAAAGAAAAACAAAATTGGCATGTTTATGTTTTGTCGTTGTACCATAAGTGTATCAAAGAAGAAACAAAAGGCTGGTAAGTAAGCGGTTGAAAAGTGTCTTTTCGAGTAAAACTGGCCACCAAATATTGTCCACCACTATCTCTTTTAGTAACCGTGTATTTTCAAAAGCAGAAAATTTCGCGCACCTGTTATGTCTAAGTAGAAAAAGAAGAAAATGAAAATATTTTGAAACCATGAAAGAAAGTGAAGAGTAATATTAAATCCAGAATGACTGAAATTAGTCCAAGCTGTCTGTGAAACCGCTGATGTTTAAAATGTTCTGTTGTTTTATGCAAATCACAAGTGGGTCACATGTGAACAAATATATGTCATGTTACAGTGTTAATGTATTCCATTATGAATTCTCTCCATACCAACTTTGAATAAAATTGGACTAAGCTTACTTGAAAATTAGCTGCCAGTCAGTAATATTTCAATAAAAATGAAACAAAAATCAAACTGCATATGGTACCTAACTCAGAACAAAATCAGTCTTGGAAAACACCATCAGACAGATGGAATCCAAAACATAAGCTTTATTTCAGGAAATGCCTATCATGAACAAATAACACACAGCTAAAACTCAACATGTACAGTCATCAATGAAATTTTAGTGTCTAGAAGAAGATCTTGATTTCTTGAAAACGAAAAAATCATTTTCCTCATAAATAAATCAATACTTATACTCACAGATTCACTCGGTGGTAACACAACGCCAGAGTATGCATACGACAGATCCCCATACCAAGCTGTCATTCTGGGCTGTTTGTAAGATGTACCTATCAATAAATATAGAGATAAAACAAAAATCGGTATTTACAGTAATTTGTATTTTCTCGATCATATCATAAAACATCAAAGAATCAATGATTTCATGTGATGATCAGACCCAGTATC